ACTCTTTGATTTGCTGATTTCATTTCCCTTGGGTAAATTCTCAGGAGTGGGATGGCTGGGTCATATGATAGGACTATAATCAGGTTTTTGAGGTATTTCCAAACTGTCTTCCATGGTGGTTTTACCAGTTTGCACTCCCACCAACAGTGGATTAAGGTACCTTTTTCCCCACATCCTCGCCAGCATTTGTTGTTTTTATTTCTGGATGAAAGCCATTCTAACTGGGGTGAGGTAAAACCTCATTGTGGTTTTGATTTTCATTTCCCTGTCAGATAGTGATCCTGAGCATTTTTTCATGTGTCTGTTGGCCATTTGGATTTTTTCTTTTGAGAAATGTCTGTTTGAGTCCTTTGTCCATTTCTTGACTTGGTTGGTTTGTTGTTGCGTTTTTGGATCACTTTATATATTCTGGTTATTAATCCTTTATCAGTTGCATGGTTTATTTGGAAACCATCTCTCCCATTCTGTTGGTTGCCTGTCTTTACTTTCTTGACTGTTTCTTTTGCCCTAGAGAAACTTCTCAGTTTGATGTAGTCCCAGTTTTTAATTTTGAATTCAATTGCCTATTCCTCTGGGATCTTTTCCAGGAATTCTTTGCCTGTGTCAATGTCTTGCAGGGTTTCCTCTGTGCTCTCTAATAACTTGGGTCATAGGTGTTGGTCTTTAACTCATTTTGAATGGGTTTTTGTGTAAGGTGTAAGGTAGGGGTCCTGCTTCAGACTTCTGCATGTGGAAATCCAGTTTTCCCAGCACCATTTGTTGAAGAGACTGTTCTTGCTCCAAAGAATGGTTTTAGCTCCTTTGTCAAATATAAGTTGTTGTAGATACTTGGATTGATTTCTGGCATTTCTATTCTATTCCATTGGGCTGTCTGTTTTTGTACTAGCACCAGGCTGTTTTGATTATAAGTGCCTTGTAGTATGTCTTGAAATCTGGTATTGTGATGCCTCCAGCTTTGATTTTGTTATAAGACTGCTTTAGCTTTCTGGGTCTCCTATTTTTCCATATGAATTTTAGCATCATTTTTTCTATATGTGAGAAGAATGTCCGGTATTTTGATTGGTATTCCATCAATCTGTAAATTGTTTTCGGAAGAGTGGGCATTTTGATGATATTGATTCTTCCAATCCATGAACATGGAAGATTTTTTCCATTTTTTTGTATCTTCTATTTTTTTTCTATTTTTAGCATCCTTGGTTAAATTTATTCTGAGGTATTCGAGTTTTTTGTAGCTATTGTGAATGGGATTGATCTTGCAAGTTCTTTCTCAGCCATGACATTGTGTATACAAAGGCTGTTGTTTTTTCTGTGTTGATTTTATATCCTGCTATTTTACCAAACTCTTCTATAAGATTTCCAGTAGTCTCTTAGAGTCTTTTGAGTCCCCTATATATAGAATCATATCATCTGCAAATAGGGATAGTTTGACTTCATCTTAACCAATTTGAATTTGTTTGATTTCTTTTTCTTGCCTGATGGCTGTGGCTAAACTCCCAGGACTATATTGAATAGCAGTGGTGAGAGTGGGAATCCTTGTCTGGCTCCTGATCTCAGGGGGAATACTTCCAGCTTTTCCCCATTCAATAGGATTCTGTCCATGTGTTTGTCATAAATTGCCTTGGTTGCATTGAGCAATGTTCCTTCTGAATCTAATTTGCTTAGAGTTTTCATCATGAAAGGGTGTTGTATTTTATCAAATGCTTTCTCTACATCTGTTGAGATAATCATATGGTTTTTTTCTTCAGTTTTTTAACGTGATGTATCACATTGATTGACTTTCAAATGTTTAACCATCCCTGCATACCAGTAATAAATCCCACTTGGTTCAGGTGAATGATCTTCCTGGTGTTGGATTTGATTGGCCAGAACTTTGTTGGGGATTTTTGCATCTATGTTCATCAGGGAAATTGGTATGTAGTTTTTTTTCTCTGTTGCATCTTTTCTGGGTTTACGAATTAAGGTAATGCTGGCTTCATAGAAAGCATTTGGGAGGATTCCCTTCATTTCAATTATTTTGAATAACTTGAGAAGATTCAGAGTTAGTTCTTCTTTAAATGTCTGGTAGAATTCAGCAGTGAAGCCATCCAGTCCAGGGTTTTTCTTTGTTGGGAGGCTCTTTATTACTGATTCAATTTCTGTCGTGGTTATGGGACTATTTAAGTTTTCTATGTCTTCATGACTCTGTGTAGGTAGGTTGTACGTGTCTAGGAATCTATCCATTTCTTCTTGGTTTCCCAATTTGTTGGCATACAGCTCTTTGTAGTAATTTCTGATGATTTTTTTTATTTCTGTGTTGTCTGTTTTTATATTTACTTTTTCATCTCATTTGGGTCTTCTCTCTCCTTCTTTTGGTTAGTTGGGCCAATGGTGTGTCAATTTTGTTTATTTTTTCAATAAACCAGCTCTTAATTTTGCTGATCTTTTGTATTGTTTTTTTTTTTTTGTTTCAACTTCGTCGATTTCTTCTCTAATTTTAATTATTTCTTTTCTTCTACTGGTTTTGGGTTTGTTGTTGTTTTTCTAGATCCTTGATGTGCACAGATAGTTCATTTATTTGGTGCCTTTCTAGTTTCTTGAAGTAGGCACCAATTGCTATAAACTTTCCTCTTATCACTGCTATTGCTGTATCCCACAAATTTTGGTATGTTACATTGTCATCTTCGTTTCCAGAAATTTTTTGATTTCTCTTTTGATTTCTTTTATGACCCACTGTTCATCCAGGAACATGTTGTTCATTCTGTATGTGTTTGCATATGATGTAGAGATTATTGAGTTGTTGATGTCCAGCTTCATTGCATTGTGGTCCAAGAAGATGAATGGTATGATTTTCATTTTTTTGAATTTGCTGAAACTTTCTTTATGACCTATCATGTGGTCAATCCTGGAGAAAGTTCCATGTACTAGAGAGAAAAAATGTGTACTCTGTGGCTGTAGGGTAGAAGGCTCTGTAGATATCTGCTAGATCTATTTGGTGTATGGTGTTGATTAACTCTGTTATTTCATTGTTGATTTTCTGTCTCGTTGGTCTGTCCATTGCTGAAATTAGGGTATTTAAGTCCCCGATTACTATTGTATTTGAGTCTACATCTCCCTTTAAATCTCTTAACATTTCTTTAAATAGCCAGGTGCCCTGTAATTAGGTGCATATACATGTACAATAATCAAATCTTCCTGTTGAATTGATCCTTTAATCATTACATAGTGTCCTTCTTTGTCTCTTAGTAGTTTTTGTGTTAAAGTCTATTTTGTCTGATACTAGGAGTGCCACACCAGATCTTTTTTGGTTTCTGTTAGCATGGATTATCTTTTTCCATCCTTTCACTTTCAGTCTGATTGCAACGATGGTAAGATTTTTTTTTTGTAGGCAGCAAATAGATGGGTTTTCTTTCTTAATCCTTTCAGCCAGTCTGCCTGTTAACTGGGGAGTTGAGACCATTTACATTCAGTGTGACTATTGTGAAGTACCAACTTTGCCCTGCCATGTTTCTGTAAATAGTTCTGTTTATGTATTTTGGATTTCTTTCATACTTTTGCTGGGTCATTTTCTGTGTTCATCTACTTTTGTAGTGATGTTCCTCTTTCTGTGTTTCTGTGTGTAGCATATCCTTGGCATCTTTTGTAGAGCTAGGCAAGTAGCTATAAATTTTTTCAGTTTCTGTTTGTTGTGAAAGATCCTTATTTCTCCTTTATTCATAAGTGAGAGTTTTTCATGGCACAGGGTTCTGGGTTGACAGTTTTTTCTCTTAAGACTTGGAGTATTGTCTTCCATTTTCTCCTTGCCTGTAGGATTTGTGATGAGAAGTTTGGAGTGAGTCTAATTGGGTTTCCTCTGAATGTTGGTTTGCTGTTTCTCTCATGCACATTTTCAGATCTTTTCTTTATGTGTTACTGAGGAGAGCTTTGCTACAGTGTGTCGAGGTGAAGATATTTTCTGGTCCTGTCTGTTGGAAGTTCTGTGTACTTCCTGTTCTTGGATGTCTCTTTCTTTCTCTAGATTGGGGAAGTTCTCTCTGTTATTATTTCATTAAGAAGGCCTTCTAATCCTTTCTCTCTTTCTATGCCTTCCAGAATTCCTAGGATCTGTATGTTGGGTCATTTGATAGAATCTTGTAGATCTCCAACCATTTTTTTTAATTTCCTAATTTCTTCTTGTTGTGTTTGGTCTGACTGTATTATTTTCAGAAATTTGTCTTCTAGTTCTGATTATCTTTCTTCTCTCTCACTTATTCTATTAAGGCTTTCCACTGCATTTTTTCTGATTTATTGAATTCTTCATTTCTAGTATTTCATTCTGACTTCTCTTTAATATCTCAATTTCTTGGGAACACTTTTTTTTTTTTGACAGGCAGAGTTATACAGTGAGAGAGAAAGAGAGACAGAGAGAAAGGTCTTCCTTTGCCGTTGGTTCACCCCCCAAGTGGCCACCATGGCCGGCGCGTTGCGGCCAGTGCACCGTGCTGATCTGAAGCCAGGAGCCAGGTGCTTCTCCTGGTCTCCCAGGCGGGTACAGGGCCCAAAGGACTTGGGCCATCCTCCACTGCACTCCCTGGCCACAGCAGAGAGCTGGCCTGGAACAGGGGCAACCGGGACAGAATCTGGTGCCCCAACCAGGACTAGAACCCGGTGTGCCAGTGCCGCAAGGCAGAGGATTAGCCTAGTGAGCCGCAGCGCTGGCCTTCAGGGATCTAATTTCATTTTTCTTTTTGGTTAGCTAGTTGTCCCAATAACCATATATTGTTCAGTGGTAAGAAATGCTACCTTAATTATATATTAAATTCTTAGGAACTTGATCTGTTTCTGGATTTTCTGTCTCACTGATTTTTTTCTTCTTTACTACATCATGATAGTTAGGTTTTTGCTTTATACTATATGTCACATGAAAGTAGAAGTAAGTTGTTTTTTCTTAATCTAACATGAGAAAGCAAAAAACTAGTGGGAGATTTTAGACTATTTCTAGTTAAATGAGCATGTTTATAATAAGAATACTTACTTTCTTTCAGAGATCCTTTAAAGTGGAGAGCTGTGATTGGAACTAATAATATATATAGGATCCATCCACATGGCAGGAGGATAAAAGTTAAATCAATCACTATCCATCCAGAATTCATTTTGGAAACTTATGTAAATGATATTGCTCTTTTTCATTTAAACAAAGCAGTGAAGTATAATGACTATATTCAGCCTATCTGTCTACCTTTTGATGTTTTCCAAGAACTGGACCAAAATACAAAATGTTTTATAAGTGGCTGGGGAAGAACACAAGAAGAAGGTAATTGTACTCTGAATTTTACTGATTTTTTTTCCAATTATTGCAGAGGAGGATGAATACTTTCATATCTCTCTATATATCTTTTTATCATTTTATACCATGAGATTGAAAAAATAGGTCTTTACAAAACCAGAGAAAAGTTTTGTTTTCCTGGTATGTGACTATTTTTCCTTCTGTATAAGAAAAAATTCTTTTCCAAAGCAAAGGCAGACAAAGATTTTCTCTGGTTATAAATACTAAGCTACGTGAAATTATAGACATTCTTGGGTGGAATGACAGTTCCAAGTGTTTCTGTAGAACAGCCTATCTTAAATAATAAACTTTTGGGTATCAGGAATCAAATGTTTAGCATCAAGCAACTTGATTGACATGTATTGTTTTTAAGGTTTATTGATTTGTTTATTTGAAAGGCAAAGTTACAGAGAGAGAGAGAGAGAGAGGTGGAGAGACAGAGAGCTTCCGTTTGCTGGTTCACTCCCCAAATGGCTGCAATGGCTAGAGCTGTGCCGGTCCAAAGTCAGCATCCAGGAGCTTCTTCCAGCTCTTCCACGTGGGTGTAGGGGCCCAAGGACTTGGGCCATCCTTTTCTGCTTTCCCAAGTCTTTAGCAGGAAGCTGGATCAGAAGTGAAATGACCAGGACTTGAACCGTCGCCCATACGGGATGCTGGCTCCTATTATGCCACAGCACTGACCCTGTCATGTATTTTCTTTAGTGTAGATAGAAGCACTAACTGTTTATTGACTAAACTAGTGAGAAAAGTAAAAATGATAGAAAACTTCGGCCGGTGCCACAGCTCAATAGGCTAATCCTCCACCTGGCGGCACCGGCACACCGGGTTCTAGTCCTGGTCGGGGCACCAGATTCTTTCCCGGTTGCCCCTCTTTCAGGCCAGCTCTCTGCTGTGGCCCGGGAAGGCAGTGGAGGATGGCCCAAGTGCTTGGGCCCTGCACCCCATGGGAGACCAGGAGAAGCACCTGGCTCCTGCCTTCCAATCAGCGCGGTGCACCGGCCGCAGCGCACCAGCCGTGGCGGCCATTGGAGGGTGAACCAATGGCAAAAGGAAGACCTTTCTCTCTCTCTCTCTCACTATCCACTCTGCCTGTCAAAAAAATTATAGAAAACTTCATCTCCATCTTTGTTAATAGCAGCTACTATTGAGAGCATATAACATGTTTCAGTGCTGTTGTAAATCACCAGGATGGTGAGGGACATTATATAGTAATAAAAAAACTAAGAAAACTTTGTTTTGGCTTATCCTCCCAATATCCCTATTAGGGAGTTAATGTTATTTTTTTCCATTTAACATATCAAGAATTGATCTTAGAGGTTAAGAAGCTGAGACATGAATATTTAATTACCACATTAAAGTACTTTAGAAAGAGCCATCTTTTCCATTCCATTTTCTGAAATACCCTCATAAAATTTGTTTTAAAGTTTTAAAATGGGTTACATATAACAAAGGCATCTTCAACTCCGATCTCTATCTCCAGTATTGCCAAATAGAAGGGCAAAATGATAGAAATTTTCCTAGATCATATGTAATTTCAAATATCACTCATGTGAATTTATTGCCCAAAAGCATGCTGAATAGACTAAAAGGCCTCAAAATGAAAATTTATTTTAAATAGGTCCTAAGCAGTTTGGTAGTATTCCTAGGAGCCCAACAGAATCAAATGCAAATCATTTGAATAGGAATTCAATTTCATCTAAAGCCCAAAGAATTTCACTAAAGTTTCAATGAAAGTAAATGGATTCCAACAAAAAATTCAGTAAGCACTTAAGAAATAAGTCATCATGCATGCGAGGAGAAAGATGAGACATCAGAGTAAGACTTGAAAAGATTTCAGATATTGGAATTATTATGTACCATAAAATATTTAATATTAGAGAAAATATGTGTTCAAAAATATAAATAACAGAAAATATGAAGAACCAAACAATTGTGATAATTAAAGATAATCAAAATTAATTGAACGAGCTAAAGTACTAGCAGCTTAGAAGGTATTTAGGATCCCACAGATTAGAATCAAGAAAATATCAGCTGCAGATCAAAAATCAGTAAACATATAATGAAATACATTATTATTATTTTTTTGATAGGCAGAGTTAGAGAGAGAGAGAGAGAGAGACAAAGGTCTTCCTTTTCCATTGGTTCACTCCTCAAATGGCTGCCATGGCTGGCATTGAGCCAAACCGAAGCCAGGAGCTTCTTCCTGGTCTCCCATGCGGGTGCAGGGCCCAAGCACTTGGGCCATCCTCTACTGCCTTCCCAGGCCACAGCAGAGAGCTGGCCTGGAAGAGGAGCAACCAGGACAGAATCCGGTGCCCCAACCGGGACTAGAACCTGGTGTGCCGGTGCCGCAGGCGGAGGATTAGCCTAGTGAGCTGCAGCGCTGGCCGAAATAAATTATTAATAATGAAATAATAACAAATTAAGACCCTAAGGATCTCAGATACTAATATTTTTGGTATATAATAGAAAGTAAATATATGTGAATTATTTAAAGAAATAAAGTAGAATTAAAAATGAACAGTCTCTCTAGAATGACCAGCACATTTAAGAGAATCAAACAGAATCTTTAAAAATGGAAAATACAGTCACTAAAGCTTAAAACTCATAGAATGCATTATGACTCATATTAGACACAGCTGAATAGAGAATTTGTGAACCAGCAGTTATATCTGAAAGAACTTCCTAAACCACAGCTGAGAAAGCAGAAAGATGAAAGAAATTATAGTACAAGAAGGATACAGTGAGAGCACTGGAGTGAAGAGAGAATAGAGGAAATATCATGTTCAATGAATTTGGGTTGAAATTTTCCTAAACCAAAAAAAAAAAAAAAAAAAAAAAAAACCATGAATCTGGATAAGCACAATACCAGTAAACAAAATATAATTCCTTTTCACACAGCTTTGTGATGTCATAGAACAAAAATAAATTGAAGTGAAAAAAAGCCAAGGATAAAAGAAAAGTCCTTACAGAAGACTCAGACTGGCTTTCAGAAAACTTAAAGAGCAATAATGAAAGTCTCAAGAAAATAAAATGTGTTTAAAAAGCTGAGACAATGCTACAGGTTTACAGTTTCATATCCAGCAAAATTATCATTCAATTACAAACATGACAGGCTGGCGCTGTTTTGCAGCAAGTTAAAACCGCTGCCTGCAGGGGCTGACGCTGTGGCGTAGCAGGTAAAGCCACCACCCGCAGTGCCGGCATCCCATATGGGCGCCGGTTCAAGACCCAGCTGCTCCACTTCCAATCCAGCTCTCTGCTATGGCCTGGGAAAGCAGTGGAAGATGGCCCAAGGCCCTGGGCCCCTGCACCCATGTGGGAGACCTGGAAGAAGCTCCTGGCTCCTGGCTTTGGATTGGCTCAGCTCTGCCAGTTGAGGCCAATTGGGGAATGAATCAGCGGATGGAAGACCTCTCTCTCTCTCTCTCTCTCTCTCGCTCTCTGCCTCTGCCTCTCCTTCTCTCTCTGTGTAACTCTGACTTTCAAATAAATAAATAAATCTTTAAAAAAAAAACACACGATGGAAGACCTTTCTCTCTGTATCTCTACCTCTCAAATAAATGAATAAAAGCTTTTTTTTTTTTTTTTTGGACAGGCAGAGTTAGACAGTGAGAGAGAAAGACAGAGAGAAAGGTCTTCCTTCTGTTGGTTCACCCCACAAATGGCTGCTACAGCTGGCGCACTGCACCAATCCGACGCCAGGAGCCAGGTACTTCTCCTGGTCTCCCATGCAGGTGCAGGGCCCAAGCACTTGGGCCATCCTCCACTGCCTTCCCAGGCCACAGCAGAGATGGACTGGAAGAGGAGCAAGCAGAACAGTATCCGGCGCCCCAACCGGGACTAGAACCCGAGGTGCCGGCACCACAGGCGGATGATTAGCCAAGTGAGCCCTGGCGCCGGCCTGAATAAAATCTTTAAAAAAATATTTAGAATAAACTCACAGCAGAAGAAATGAAGGTAAGCACAGCAATTAATTACAGAAAAGCCAGAATGTTATTATTTGAAAAAAAAATAATACTGATGAGACAGATGAGAAAAGGAGAGATGGCACAAATACACATAATATTATAAATTAAAAGATACATACTGCTTTTATTTTAAAGATTTATTTATTTATTTGAAAGTCAGAGTCACACAGAGAGAAGAGAGGAGGAGAGAGAGAGAGAGGTCTTCCATCCGCTGGTTCACTCCCCAATTGGTCGCAACAGCCAGAGCTGGGCTGATCTGAAGCCAGGAGCCAGGAGCTTCCTCCAGTCTCCCACGCAGGTGCAGGGGCCCAAGGACTTGGGCCATCTTCCACTGCTTTTCCAGGCCATAGCAGAGAGCTGGATAGGAAGTGGAGCAGCTAGGTCTTGAACCGGCGCCCATATGGGATGCTGGTGCCTCAGGCCAGGGCGTTAACCCACTGTGCCACAGCGCTAGCCCAATACATATTGCTTTTTAAAATGTTATGCCCTAACACTCTTTAATGATGGAGAGATATTCTTTTTTTTCCCCCCCTCTGGCCATTTGTTTATCTTATAATTTTTTTTTTATCTTTTATTTAATGAATATAAATTTCCAAAGTACCACTCATGGGTTACAATGGCTTCCCCCCCCCATACCGTCCCTCCCACCCACAGCCCTCCCCTTTCCCACTCCCTCTCCCCTTCCATTCACATCAAGATTCATTTTCGATTATCTTAATATACAGCTTAGTATACCTTAAGTAAGGATTTCAACAGTTTGCTCCCACACAGAAACATAAAGTGAAAAATAATAGATGATTTTTTTTAAATGATGATGAAATCAGATCAGACCTATTGTCATGTTTAATCCCAGTGAGAGTCAAGTTGGGAATTGATAATTTCTTTTTTTTTTTTTTTACAGAAGATCAGTTTAGTGTACATTAAGTAAAGATTTCAATCATTTGCACCCCCATAGAAACACAAAGTGAAATATACTGTTTGAGTACTCGTTATAGCATTAAGCCTCAATGTACAGCA